ATTGTTGAAATTTTTGTAGATTATTATTAGTCAAAATCTTGTTTATTAAGATTTTGATACAAATCCATGTTAAGCTAGTTTGTATTAGAATTATTAATTTATACCAAAATTTACTGTAAAAATTTTGGTACAAAGCTTATAGTTATTGTAGTAATATTTATTAGAATTATAACATGAACTCTATAATAATTTATTGTAAAAAATTTTGTTATATAAATTCATAAATTATTATTAATATGCAGTTAAAGTTGAGCTAGTTTGTATTGAAATTACAGTCATAATCTAGCATGATTTATTGTAATAATATTGGTTTAATACTCACTATTATAATATACAGTTGGTGTTGAAATTACATTTATGAATTCTACAATGTAATGATTTACTATAACCAATTTTGCTATGGTGCCCAAGTCACTTCTTATCAAATTATATTTATATCTATCTTTTTTTTTTTTTTTTTTTTTACCTCCCTTTGCTATTCTGAAGGTCCTCAGACACCTTAGGATCTGTCACATCATTAAGGCCAGAGTTATCATTCTGCGGAGATCAATGGATGGCCATTGGCCCTGAATGTTCAGTCCCTGCAAGTTAGCACACTTAGTTGCTGCGTACATCACCTGTGGTATTTCCCAGCCCCTCTGTGCCACATGGTGGTAAGTCTATCACCTTAGTGATATCCCGGGTCTCTGGTCCCATGGTGTAGGACCCCAACTTCGAGGTCCGCAGTTCCTCATTGCCACGGCCTCACATTTTCCTTTTCCTGTCATATTTAACCTTTTATGTCTAATGTATTAATCCTTAAACAGGGGTATCTCAATGTTAGCATCATTTGTTGACAGATTGCACCTTTTCTGGTCACCCCCGACTCCGTGGCTATTCCGACGGACTGTATTCTCACGTATGAATTTTGTTCTTTTCTTGATTTATTCCGAATCCTCATAGATCTTTCAATCGTGGTCCTGACAGAGCCTTATCCCCAGTTGAATTCGAACCCGCGACCTTGCGATTGTGACCCCGGAGTGCTAACCACTGCACTATCAACCCAAGGGTTATGTTTACTTTTTTAAAAAATCGTATAGCTATAAATTTGAAACTTTATTAAAAGGAATAGCTGATTATAGTTATTAACTCTTATATTTATCTGTTAAAAATTTTTAAAAGCCTGAATACTAAGGTTATAAGTAGCTAAAGTTTCGATTATTAGTGATGGCAGAAAATGTTGAGATTACATGATTAATTATCATTTCCGAACTCTTCAAAAAGTCCGATAGTATTTTGTTTCTTCCCTTAACATATTTCGGTGCTAAAGTTGATTTGTGATTATTGTATCACATATTTTGATAACCCCGGTCTTTATATCAAATTTGATAACCAAATTTGAATTTAACACATTTGTTGACAAGCGATTTGAATCACCATATATAGAAATTTTAAAATTATAATTTAAGTATGGTTGGTATAATATATTAAAATCACTTATACTGTACTATTAAATAAAAATTAAACAAAATTAAAAAATAATTAAATTGCGATGAACTATCATATATGGGTAAATTATACTTCTGGCTTTCAATTTTTACCGAATTTAACCTTTAAACCCGATAGTACAATGGTTACATCCATACATATAATCACATACGAGTATTTCCAAGGGAAAAAGGCTGTTCGAACTTTCGAGTATATTATAATCTAATATACTTGAAAGTCTGAACGGCCTTTTTCCCTTGCCGCACTCATGTACAATATGTCATCAGATTCACGAGCTGAATTTGATAAATAATAAACGATAAGCTTGAAAGTCCAATGTTTTATTTTCTTTTGGAACGCTCAAATAATTTATATACACTTTGGGTTTATGCATTCAACTTATTTTTTTTATCTCTGTGTGTTACAATTTTTTTATTCATTTATTTTTTATTCTATTTAGCTATTCAATCTCATACCATTCATTATTCCTTACATATTATATCATTCATCATTTTATCTATCAATACTGTCGTTAATTATTCTTATATATGGATCTTAATTCGCCGCAGAAAATCACAATCGTGCGTTATATTGTTAGTGTGATGGGCAAATCGTGGATTCCCAAAAATCCCACATGATCCGCGGGATAAATAATTAATTAATTGGTATTAGGTTTCAAATTCTCTTATTTTCAGAATATTGCGGAATGGCGGTCAAATTTATAGGAATATTTCGTGCCTACTAATAGCATGTATCTGCACCGACAAACGAGATCGCCTTTTAAATCTCATACACAACAATGCGTAGCTGCTTATGGATTTATTATAAAAAGGCTCCCTTTTTTTTTTTTTTTTTTTTTTTTTTTTTACCCTCAATCTAAGACATACAAATTTCTCGTCTCCTTAAATATTTATTAAAAATATGAGCCAAACCAGACTTTCGTTTTTTACTCTGCTCTTATTTCTTTTGTATTATCTGCTTTTGACACAAGCACTAATTAATGCTGAAAAGAAAAATATTGCCCCTGACAATGTAAATGATGACTTTTGCGGTAAAGAAAATGCTGGCTTAATAAATGGAGAACTTGGTCTATGCAACGGAGGTGGTGGTAATAGCGCCGAAGGATTATTTTGTTCCAATTCAGGAAAAGATAACCACTTTACATGTAAAAATTATACTGATAATACAATTTTTATTTGGGATTGCGGATCAAAAATTTGTTTTAACGGTACAATACGAAGTG